GAATACTTAGTTGATTTAATTACTATGTTTTTATATATACAATTAAATTCATCTTTTTTAAAAGGCCTCTGAGAGTCAGTATATCCTCTGCTCACTTTCAGATCAGGCCTTTTCTGATGCTTCGGTTTCATTCCCTGTTTTGGCTTCAGTCTTGGAGTATCGTATTCCCTCATCGTGTCAAACTCAAACCACCGCTGACTCCACTTCTGAGCTCCTTTCATTTGCTCTTCAGTTAAAAAGAGCAAATCTGATTCCTTTAATATTACACTTTGGGCGCTCTTGGCACTTGAACCAGGGCTTAGACTTCATTTTTACTTTCAGCTGATTCACAGTAACTTCTCGGCTAGAATTTTTTACTATTGGCTTCCTATTAGTATTAAAAGTACGGAATTCCAAAGGGGATCTCCTAAGTATAGCAAGCCATCATCCAGCCATTCCTCTAATTTGACCACTTGGCTATTGCTCCTGCATTCTGAAATTATGAAGTTCAAAGCAAATCTCAACATCCTGTCCTTTAACAGTGTTCCTAAGGACAAAAGGAACTCCAAGTCCTGCTCTTGATCTCTAGATGCCAATCCCCCCAGACCGGCAGGTTTTCCCATGGGCATGTGGGTCAGCCACAGTAACATGAAGAATGCTTTCAACAGAGAACTCTGAGACATGGAATACCTTTCCCCTTTCGTAACATATCTTTTCTTTCTATTTGAAATTTTGAGGACTCAAGAACCTGGTTTCCTGGCACAGGGGGAGGCGCCTGACCCCAGTGACTGGTTCTGGAGGTGGCTGAGACACTGGGAAGACCCAGTGCTCTGCTGCTGACCTCGCCTGCACCCCCCATATCCCAGCCTAGCTCTGCACCCTGCACCCTGACTCCCAAGGCTTGTTCTACTTATGGCCAATCTATTTATTATTTAGTTGTAAGAGCTCTTTGTATATTCCAGATACTAATCCATATCAGATACATAATTTGCAAAACTCTTCTCCCATTCTGTAGCTTGTCTTTTCCCTTTTTTGAGTATCCTTTGAAGCATAAAAGTTTTTAATTTTCGTAAAATCTATTTTGTTGCTTCCATTTTTGGTGTTATTCTAAGAAACCTAATGGCCTAATCCAAGGTCATGAAGATTTATGCCTACGTTTTCTTCTGAAGTTTACAATTTTTGCACTTACATTTAGGTCTTTAACCTATTTAATTTTTGTATGCGGTGTGAGTTAGAGATCCTACTTCTTTCTTTTGCATGTAGGTATCCAGTTGTCCTAGTCCCATTTGTTGAAGCGAGTCTTCTTTACCCCACTGAATTGTCTTTATCCCATTGAATTTACCCTTGATGTAAATCAACTGGACATAAATATAAAGGCTTATTTCTGGGAGAGAAATATGCTTATATCTTGATTACTTCTTTTCATATGTTGCATTCTCTACCTCAGGAACCCTAATTATGGTTATGCTAGGTCCTCTTTGTCTTTTCCAATAGCTTTTATCTTCCTCCTATTGTACATTCATTGTGAAGCCTAACTTCGTATCAGCAATTGAATTTTCAACAGTGTCTATTTTGTACATGCTTCTAATTAATTCCCTAATAATTGAAAGGTTTTCTTAGGCTCTGCTGAGGAAGAAATGCCAATCAGCCACAAAGTTAGGCAGTATAGAGCTTTATTGGGATTTGCGCACCTGGGTGAGGTTCTCCCATCCACAAAGTGGGGCCGAATAGGCCGCGCCCAAGCAGGGAATGTGGCGAGGTTTTATTTTCATTGGCTCTCTTCGTGGGAGCTGGGGATTGGCCCCCTTTGAACAAAGCGGCAATATAGCATTGGTGGTTTTCCTCGGGCTCAGGTTGCTAAGCGGATATCCGTTTTGGCAAAGCCCATCCTTTTGGCTCTCTGGTTTGATGTCAGCCATCTTTTCTGAGTTGTAGTTCAGCCGTCATTTTGTCCTACCCCACCCATCCTGACAATAATAATGATCCTCAATTTGCTTCCTTAGATCTGTAACTCCTTTTGCAATTCTATTATTATCTTGGTTTTTGTCTTATTGGGCCCAAGTTTTTATTAAGTTGTTCTGTAACAGAAAGCATTGTGAGGAATTTTCTTTGGTTCCATGAGCTTTTTTGCTTCTGTATTAGTTTCTTTTTCTTTACATCATCCACACACAGTATCATTTCCCCCTTTGTTTGCTTTTGTGTGTTTGGCTGTTGTGTGTGTGCACAGTTGCCAGGTTGTTTCTCTCCCTTCTGTCCATGCCTGATGTTACTGAGGGTGACTTCTTTGTGTTTCCCATTATAGTGACGCCAAACTGTAGCAAACTGACTCTGCTACAGTTTGCAACTTGAGGAGTCTGAGTTCTATGTCTTCTTCTGTGAGGAATTGTGAAGGTTAGGACAGCATTCAGCTGTGAAAGTGTGTACTCTCCACTAGTGCCTGTCTTATTAGCATCTTCTCGTTCTTCTGAGATGGCATTAAACATCCTCCACCAATGACATGCAACTATTTGGGGCATGTCTACTCTTGGGAGATGTCTTTGCATAGTTTCTTCAGCTCCATGTGGAGCCCTTGAGTCTTCCCTTCCATCTCATAAAGTAAGCTTGGTATTCATATTCTTCCATTTTCTCTCTAAAAGTTCTTCCATTCCCCCTCTGTCAGAAAAGAGGAAAGGTCAGGGCCTCCATTCAGTTTTCTACATTTGGGGGTTTGGTGAGACACTAAGAATTCCAATGTCTCCACAATCCTGCTCCTGGAAGTTAGGAGTCAGATGAGGATAATTCTCTTGTGTACCTTTCTACCTTGACCCAGAATCTCCTCCAAAGTTTGAATTTCAAATATTGAACCTCTGACAAGTGCATTTAAAGAAATTTGCTTTTTTTCAGTTACCATTGCCAAATGCCTCATGTTAGTTTACCTGTTACCCTTGACAAGTGACTATATCTCTGTAGTCCTGCAGTATTCAGTCTCTGAAGCTATGCATCTCACTCACCTGCTTCTCTATTACAACCTTAGAAACAGAAAAAATCCTTGGTGTTTTCACAGAGAGCAATTCCCAGTTTGGGTCCAGGGTGACAATGGGTGACATACTGGGCTAGAACCATAGATGCTGTCACAAACCCTGGCTGTGAATGCCCACATCTTGACTTTTGAACCATTTTATGCTAATAAATTCTGTGGAACATGCCCCTGTTCTTTTAGTATATTCCTCCTTTTTCTCTTTTCTCTACTTATAACTATCAAACTACTTATATTTCATTGTCGAACTATTTAAATAATGTTGATGATTTTAAAGCATGAAATGAGTTTGTTCCTTAAAGTTTTATGGCCCTTTAACTATCTGACCCTCACTCAAAATAAGCCCTCAGAGTTCTTTGAATGTTATCTATTGTTTAATAATTTCTGCCCTGGCTGGTGTAGCTCAGTGGATTGAGCACAGGCCTGTGAAGCAAAGGGTTGCCAGTTCGATTCCCAATCAGGGCACATGCCTGGGTTGCAGACACATGAGAGGCAGCCACGCATTGATGTTTCTCTCCTGCTCTTTCTCCTTCCCTTCCCCTCTCTCTAAAAAAAAATAAATAATAAATAAAATATTAAAAAAATAATTTTTGCCTGATAATGATTGATGAACTTTCCGAATACACCCTGTATTCCCATGCAAATGAAGCCCAATAAAGGCCTGTCAAGGCCAGGGTCTGAGTACTTTCCCCTTGAGAGAGTGGCCGTGTGGTCCCTTTTCCTCTACAGGACTTGGTAGTCCATGTGAATTTGTCTCGTCTCATCCACAATGCCTCGGACACTAGGGCCAGTGTCTGAATGAACAATAAATATTAGGAGAGTGACAAAGAGACTTTCCAAAGCATGTCCATATTTCATGATTTATGTAACTTGGTATTTAACATATATAGAAATTTAATAACTATCTTTTAAAAACCCATTTACATGAATATTTCTTCTATTTTAGATTAAAGATGCATAAAAGGCCAGTCAATTTCCATATTTCTGTCCTTAATATTTAGAACACAGCTATGCCTGGAGTAGACATTCAATGAATATTAATTATAACAACGGAGATGCTTTATTAGTATAGAATATTCTGGGGATTTCCCTCCTGATTTGTCTGATCATAAGACTTGTAGTACTTGTTTATATGTCAGAAAACCAGCATTAGAAACTCTCTGGAGCAAACCATGAGATAATTTGACACATGGTTTAAAACTCACCTTTAGCCCTGGTGTGGTAGCTCATTTGGTTAGAGCCATGTCCTGATGGCCAAGGTTCAATCCAGGTCAGGGCATATACAAGAATCAACCAATGAATACATAAATAAGTGGAACAACAAACCCATGTTTCTCTTTCTCAAAAAAAAAACAAAAACAAAACCCAAATAAAAAATAAAAACCAAAACTCACCATTGGCCTTATGAAATAATCCCTCAAGTGAGAAAAAAAAAAGTCCATTTTTAAGTCTTAAAATAGTCAAAGCACATGTCACTGGTTAAGAGTTCAGTTGATCAATAACGTTTCGCAATTTTTACCAACATCAGAGGGAAGAAGCTTAGCTTCGCTTGCAAATCGGTTTCCCCAGGGTCAAAGTTCTGGCCACCACAAATACCATCATCCTAGATACAGGGACTCACATAGGACCACTTGGTGTAACACTGCCTCTGAAACCGGCCAGAGGGTGCGCTGCCCATATTTTAAACTAACGAAAGCATGAGTTTCAAGTCATACTATTTTCCATGCCTCTTCCCGGCGAGGTTCCAGCTCCAGACACTTGGCTCCTTTCGGAGTCCGTTTGTCCAGAGACAACTCAGGGAGACCGACCCCACTCCTCTCCACTGGTGCGGAAAGCGCTCCAGTATAAATCGCAGCACCGCCCGCAGAACAGCCCGCGGCACAGCCAGCAACACCGCCCCAGACACTGCACGGAGCCGGGGGCGGGGCCAGGGCCGTGACGCAAGGCCGCACCCACCAATCGGAACGCTCCGCGGCGCCGGCCGAGCCTCCAGCCCATAAAAACGAGCTCCCGCGGTCCCAGTCACATTTCGCCCTCCGGTCGCCCACCTTCCTCTGTTGTCTCCTGCCACAGCCCATTGCCCGCGGCGTCCAGCGAAGTTTAATCGCAGCCCCTGAAACGTGCCTAGGTCCTGCCCAGTGGCTGCGGCGGGTCCATGGAGAAGGGCCCGGTGCGAGCGCCGGCGCAGCCGCGGGACCCCAGGTACAGCAATGGGTGCCTGGAGGGGGAGCCGCCGCGGCCCGGGCCGAGCCGACCCGCGGAGAAGTCGCCGCGGCCGGAGACCAAGAGAGCCCAGCTGGCGGACAGCTGGAAGGGCGAGCGGCCCCGCAGCGAGGAGGATAACGAGCTGAACCTCACCAGCCTGGCAGCCGCCTACTCGTCTATCCTGCGCTCGCTGGGTGAAGACCCCCAGCGACAGGGGCTGCTCAAGACGCCCTGGAGGGCGGCCACGGCCATGCAGTTCTTCACCAAGGGCTACCAGGAGACCATCTCAGGTCAGTGAGCCCGCTGGTCGCGTGGGCGCGGGCTGCTTCCACCTACTGAGAGCCGGGGAGGTGGCTGCAGGAAAAGCGCGCGGGCTCCGGGAAGTTTCGAGTTGATTCACACTTGGCAGAGGGAGACAAGTGCTGTCACCTTCTGAACGCCCCCCCCCCCGCCCGGCCCTGGCCCTGCTGCCCGCCCAGGCGAGGGCCGGTGTGGGACCCACTTCGGGCTCTCTGGGCGGGAGCGGCCTCTCCACCTGGGTACCCGATGCAGCCGCCCTCGAGGGGTCCCCCTGCTCCCAGCACGCAGCCCTCGGGTTGGCGAGACTGCGGCCACTGAGTTGCCCCGGGCAGGATGCTTGAGGCACTTGCTGACCCACGGTGAGGATCATCTGGGCGCTTGCGGTAGTGACTGCCTTCTAGGTCGTCTTTTTTCTTGAGGTCTCATCTTTGGCTTCGTGAGTTTGGAGTGCCTGGGGGCGATCCTTCACCGTGAACTCGGGGGACCTTCACTTTCACTGACTTGCCGGGCACCCGGGGCTTTGGAAAGTTGTATCGTCTTTGCTTCACATCAAATTCACTTTAGCTCAGGACTCTTCCAGAATTTGGTACAGTTCTGGGCATAGGCTTCCCGGAGTTTGAGGTGTGAGGTTTCTGGGGCAAATTTGCTGCTTAAAGCCCTGGCCAGGTGCTCGGTTGGTTAGAGCGACGTCCTGACAGCCTAGGTTCAATCCAGGTCAATAAAGCAATAAAGGGGGAGTCAGGGATGTTTGCTGAACTCTAGGACACTGAGCTAAGACCCTCTGTCACCCTTCCCACATACACTCCAAATAAGCCCTGTTAGCCTAGTGCTATCACTGGGGGTCGTCAGGCTTTCACCCAGGACAAGGGGAAGCAAGGGGCTGGGAGTGGAGAGGAAGTAGGAAATGACTGAAGATTTTGCTGCCTACTGAGTGGTGTTGGTTTGAGAGAGAGAGAGAGAGAGAGAGAGAGAGAGAGAGAGAGAGAGAATGAATGAAAAGCTTCTGACTTCTACAGCTGGGACCGAAGGATATTCTGCAGATTCTGTGGTTCACATCCTCACATCTTTGGTGCCTTGTGGTGACATTTATTTCATTGGCCTAAGAAGCCTTCTGTTATTTCTCAAAGAATAACAGTGCTGCTTTGAAAGGTAACCTCCCTGCTACTGTTATTTCCCTGATGGAGAGTATCTGGCAAGTCCCTGAATAGGTCTTGAGAAGAACAAAGTTATTTTTGCCCAGTCTTCCACACCCCAGAGGAAGGGTGGTAAAGCTGAGTATGAGAAGGGTGAGGCCCAAAAAGGAAATTATACTACATCCTAAAGCCAAGAATGTGTTCAAGTTCACTTGTTTAATCCCTTGATGATAAAAGTTTAGAGCTTCAAAAGCAGAATTTCAAAGTAAAGACTGAAGAATAAACATTCTTTATTTGGTGCTACTTTTTGGTGATATTCGCAACTAAAGAAGAAATGACTAAAGAAGAAGCACCTTCATAGATGAAGTTTGCTCCTCCTGCCTCTTGTGGACAGTGAAAGCCATGGCCTCACTGCACTGGTCAGGCTTTGGGAATCTTGCCCTAACAGATTTTACAGGAGAGAGGGATTTCTGACCCCCAGATAGGCCACAGAATTTCCCTTAAGTGGCTCACAATGTTTTCCAAAGAAATGGTTAGCAGAAGTTTGTTTGCGGAGCCACAGGACTAACAACGCCAAAGAACACTCCATTCTACCTTAGAAAACTGCTTTAATCGAGTATTAACTTCATTCTTTAAAAAGTGTATGGACTGTCCTGGCTGGGTGGCTCAGTTGATTGGAGTGATGTCCTATGCACCAAAAGCTTGTGAGTTTGATCCTGGTCAGGGCACATTGTCTAGGTGTGGGTTCTACCCCCAGCTGGGGTCTGTATGGGAAGCAACTGATGGATGTTTCTCTTTCACATCTCTCTCTCTCTCTCCATAGTTCTCCCTCCCCCTCTAAAATCAATAATTGTATCCTTGGATGAGGATTTTAAAAAGTCTATAGACCTAGAGACAGAAAGCAGATTAGGGGTTGCTGGGGCTTTGGGAAGAGGGTGGAATGGGTACAAGTTTCCTTTTGGGCTGCTAAATGTCCTGGGACGAGAGAGTGGTGCAGGTTGCAATACCACTGAATCACACACTTTAAATAGTTAAAGTGTTGAATTTTATGTACATTTTATCACAATGAAAAAGCCCACAGACCATTTAAGAATTATTAGTAGCCATTAACTGAATACTTTCTGTGCTCTAAGTTCTTCATGTGGACGATCTTGGTTAATCCTCAATTTCCAGGCAACACTGTTCTTTTTACACCCGTGACAGGGAAGCTGAGGCAGAGAGGTTGACAGGTTCATGGTAGGGCTGCTGATTGAATGCAGGCAGCTGAAAGGCGGAACTCTTAGCCACTGCCTTATGTTGCTACTTAGAGAGATGTACCAGGGTATCTTATCCTTTCATACTGTGAGTTGTGACCTAATAGTTGGGTTACCAGCACCAAAAAGGAAAAAAAAAAAAAGGTGGAGCAGAATGGAGAAGATGAGTCTACCCCATGTAGTGAGGGTAGATGCTCTGAGGAACTTCTGTGTAGGTTTTATAGGTATAACTTTTTCTGGTGTGTACTGACCCAATGTAAAATGTATTTCTTGCCATAGGTTGTGATCAAAAGTTTGAAAGTCTCTACCCAGCAGATTAGGCTTAAGGATTTAATATTGATTTCTTAGCGGTACACAGTTAAATAGAAGACAGAGAGGATGAGGATGTGCTGAACTTAAAGAAATAAACCTGAGATGGGGGTACATGAAGACTTGCCCCAACCCGGGTGGGGGAGGGAAGGAAGGAGACTTGGGTCTGTGGGAAATGCAGCAGAGAGTGAAGGGGACATGGGCCTGCACAGTCACTGATCTTTCACTTCTTTAGAAGACAGCATATGCCAGTGACTGCGTAGATCGATTGGGATAGAAACAAATTTCTTTGAAACAGTCACATTTTTGTAATTCTAAACAAGCCAGCTTATATCTTTTCATATTAATTCTTGGTTCATAGTGTTGCCTGAGTGTTATAAAAAGTAAAATAACTTGGTATTTTACATTCCCCAAGTTGTTATTATTTTTTCAGCTCCTCCTGAGTGGGTTGATAGTAACTTCTGCTCTTCTGGGAGTGTGCCAGTTCCCCCTGCACTGTAGCTTTTCTGCAAAGGTGCCTGGTGCACCTGTCCCTCACTGCCCACTGTGTACCTGGTCACGGGGTTCACTGTGCTCCCCGTTACTCTTCACCACTGGGCTGTAGCCTGTGGGCTGGGAGGGAGGCCAGAAGAGGCACAGTCACCCTGCCCCCAAACTGGCCATCTTTTGAATCTGGCATCCCAGGGTGATCTCGGATCAGATATATATTTTTTTCTTTTTTGAGAATTTTTATGAGCTTATTTAAGCCAAGTTGATGGCAACTGCTGGGAAGCAGAATCTCAATGAATTCTCCAGAGAATTCTCCAGAGAATGGCAGTTTTGAAGCTTATTTTCTATATCAAAGTCAAAGGAAGAGATGTAAAGAGGGTTACATGAAATTCATCGGTGGTGGGTTAAGGGATAGGCAAAGTGAGGAAATCTCCGGGATTGGATAAAAAGTAGAATGGAGAAACATAAACAAGGGAGGACCCAAAACCCTGACATTTACTTATAAGAAATTATATATTTATTTATTCTTACATGCTTAAACTTCAATCACCTTCAAAGTACTCTCCACTTGATGCAGTACACCTATCGAGACACTTTTCCCACTGCTCGAAACTGTTTTTGAACTTGTCCATTTTGATGCCTTTTAGTGTTTCTGCCATTTTTTGTTTCACCTCTTCCACATTGGAAAAATGTTTCCCTTATAGAAGGAGACTGAATTTGCCTGTGACCTTGCCACTTGATAATCTGCATAGTTACCGGCATGTCTCTAAACTTGTCATTTTCCCCTTTTTGTGAGGGGTGGTAATACTTGCTTTGCCTGGGCTCTTACAAGAAATAAGAAGGCATGCAAAAAATCACCTGCTGCTTGACATATTCCTTCCTTTAGTTCTGGAATGCCTTCCACAATTCCAGAACTGTGGGATTGGAGTCCTTGGAAAGTGTTTTAAGGATGTGGGACATTCTGGAGCCCGAGCCACCATGTAGAAAGTCCAGTTGCTCTGGAGGTGCTGTGCAGTGAGGTCGCTCTACCACACGGAGAGGCCACAGGTGGGTGTTCTGGCAGATTGCTGTAGATGAGGTTCCACCCGACAGGTAGCGTCAAGCTTTAGACGTGTGAGTAAAGACTCCTCCAGGTGATTGCAGCCCACAGCTGACCTGTTGTCCCCACTGAGACCCCAGACACTGCGGAGTAGAGGCCAGGCGTATCCCCTGTGCTCTGTGGGAATTCCTGACCAACAGAGTCCAACGACATCGTAAAACAGTTGTACAACACTAAATTCTGGGGTGTTTCGTTATGTACTGAAAGCAACTACACAGATTTTCCAATATGGATGATTGGAATTGACACGTGCACAGAGGAAAAGGGAGCGACTTAAACAGGCCAAGAGATGGCGTGATGGTTTAGGGCTAGAGATTTAAATTTGTGAATTATAAAGCTGAGGGTGAAGGCAGGAGTGAGAGGAGGAGGCAGGTGGCCTAAGCTTTAGGAAATGCCTGCATTCAGATATTCAGATAGTAAGGTGGGGGGAGAAGCAGCAGCAGAGACAGCCCTGCGGGGGTGGGGGTCTCTGAGACTCAGGAGAGCCAAGGGTGTAAGTGTTGGCAAAGTTGGTTTTATAAAAGGGACAAAGAACAAGAGGAAGAGGTATGAGAGATAGCAGGCTTGAGCCAGAATGCCTGGCTTCAGATCCTGTCACAGCTGTGCCTCAGTGGCCTCATCTGTAAAATGGGGCCGTTAATGGTACAGTTACTTATCTATCTTACAGGGTTATTGTGAGGATCAAGTGAGTTCATACACATAAAGTG